ACTGACTACAGCAAGTGCTGGGGAGGACGTGGAGAAACCAGAACTGTCAGACACTGGTGGTAGGAATGTAGAGTAGTCCCGCTACTTTGGAGAAAAGTCTGGAATACTGGAAAACAGTCTGGCTGTTTCTTAACATGTTAAACAAACACCTACTATGTGATCCAGCCATTTCACTTTTAGGTGTTTAATCAAGAGAAATGAAAGTGTGTGTCCATACAAAGAGGAGTAGACGAATACCTATAGCAACTTCATTTGTAACAACCAGAAACCGGAAATGACCATACTGTCCCTCAGCAAGTGGGTGACAGAACAAACAACAGTCTAGCTGTACAATGGAACACTAGTTGACAAAAACATGCACTGTTGATGCATGTTACAATATGGATGAATGTCCCGAAATAATTAACCCGAGTGAAAGAAGACATTCCCCCCAAAGTATGAGTTCTTTTATAAAACATCCTAGAAATCTAATCTAATCTACCTATACTGGGAGTAGATCAGTTGTTGCTGGGGGTGGACATGGGGTGGGGCAAGGGTGTGAAGGCATGATTTTATAAAAGGGCATGAGGTAACTTTTGGGGGTGATGAATATGTTCATTATGTTGACTGTAGTGATGGTTTCACAGGTGTATCCATGTATCAGAACATCAAATTTTAGACTTTAAATATATATTATTTATTTATGCCACTGCCAATTATCTCTCAATAAAGCTGTTAAAAAACTTTTATGTCAAACATATATAAATATCTAATGTATCTTACAAATCATTAAAATAAGATAAATACCTATCAATAAATGAACAAAGGACCTGACAGGCAACTCATAAATGAATGTAAATGACTAATAAATATTAAAAACCAGAATTCTTAAAGATCATAAAGAAATAAAAATTTAAAATGATATAGTTTTCAGACTGTATTTTGTGTATTCACCAATTAAAATGGTAAGTGTAAAAACTCTTGGTCATAGCTACTGTTGGTAATATTTTAGGGAAGTGAGAATTCTCAAATAGTGCTGTGCACATATAAATAAGTAGAACTTTTTTGGAGGACCATTTGAAAACAGCACAAATTAAAATATACAAAACTTTTGACACAATAATTCCACTTCTAGAAATTTATCCTAAGAGAGATGCACACAAAAACTTTAGGAATAAGAATATTCACCTTATCTATGTTTTTATACTAGCAAAAGATTGCAAAGAATCTAAAAGTTCAATATTAGAGAGTTGGTTGAATTTGATACCTCCTACCAATGCAGCCACCAGAATTAAAACTGTAGAAGAATATTTAGAGACATGGAAACATAATTGTTATATACCAGTTAGTGAAAAAAGTTGTAAGCAGTATATGGAATATGGTTTTGTTTTAGACAAAATATTGCATATTAATGGCTAGGAAAAAGATATTTGCACTGGTTTTATCTGGGCTAGGCAATTATAATTTTCAGTTTTTTATTTTTGCTTCTATTTTTAATTGTTCTACAATGAAGTTGTATTGCTCTCATAATAAAAACCCCAATAAAAGTTATTTTTTTGCATACTACCAGTGTTAATGCCCTATAAATGATACTGTGAGAAATATTAATTTTGAGTCTTAGTGACCCCCCCCCAAATTGAACAGAAGCCTGCAAAAAGGTGTAGGTGTGTGGGGAGGCGTGAGATGCTGCTACTCTAAAATTGGAGCCTGGAGGGACCTGGACCCAGACCACTAAAGGGGGGTGGCATGGGCCTTGCCCTCTGTAGCAGTTGACACAGCTCAGGCCTCCCAGCAGAAAGGACAGCTGTTAAATAAGGACAAAGAAAATTAGCACCCGTCTTGCCTAGGACAATGGATCTGGTTAGGTTGGGTCCACTTTGCATGGCCAAGCCTCCACTGGCAATTTTCCATGTCTGTGTCATACAGCAAAGAGTAGGAGAGCAACAAGGGATTTATTGGTCCCAAGTCTTCACTTGCAGTCATGGAAAGAGAGGCCCATATGGGCCCATGCATGTGTTGCTCAATCAACATTCCTTCTTGGAAGTTCCGGCAGTGGCTTGAAGTAAAATCAATGCCAGAATGTCTGTCAACTAAAACAGTAATTTCTGGAATAGAATCACCTACTGAGAATCTCAAGGCTTGAGTTCTAAGGGAGAAGAGTTAGCTCTGATATATGGCTTTAAAAAACCCCCAATCTCCCTTCTTTCCTTCTTCCCATGAAAACATGAGACTCAAGGTCCATGACTTATTATCTCTATGCCACAAAACCACAAAGTTCTCTGAATCTGGGGCAGCCAACTAATCTCATCGATGGGAGAAATACATACACAGGAATGTCACCATTTACTGGCCACAACAGGGTTGGCAAATGGCTTTCATCCTATATATCAACTGCCACTGTGCTTGGTGGAAATGTTAGAATGAATTCCAAGGCAGTGCCTGGGCTGAATGAAAAAGAATGACGTGATTGATTGGAGATGTGTTGGTTGTTGGAAGGGGCGATTAACAGTATCTTCGCCACATATTTCCATCTTGGTCTAGAACATCTGTTACCCTCAAAATAGGGTTTCTTCCTTAAATTGCTCTCGCTATTGATTACTCTTACAGGATACCAGATTCTTTCAAATATTACTTTTAGTACATCATTCTCCTATTTAAAAACCCTCTAAAGATCTGTCCCACATAGTAAATCTATTTCCTTGTCTAATAATCAAGGTCCTCTACATTTGACACTGTTTACCATTCTAAGTGCTTAGCAATCCTACACAGACTTAACTCCCTGACCTAATTTTGTACCCGGAGCAGGCGCTCTGGTCTAAAAGGGCCACCAACAGGAGCCAGGGATGGGAATCAAATAAGAGCAACTAGGCTAACAGATCAGGATGAGTCAATAGCTGGGGAGGCTCAAGATGGAGGAGGCATATTAGAATTCTTGGGGTAAGGGTCAAAGCCAAAGCTGAGTGGACAAGCTCCAGCTGAGGCTTGTTCCTTTAAATGGTCTAGTTTCTATCCCAGTTAAGCTGCCCATCATCACTTTTAAAGTAGCGGTATCTTATAGCTGTTTCTTTACAGATACCTGATATATCTGCTACACATTATCATCACCAGGCTAATAGTATCTTCTTCACCCTCAATGTCTATTTCCTTTCCTTGCTGCCTATTTGAATCCCACCCATCCTTCTGTGCTCAGCTCCAAAGCATCAGTTAGGCCCTGGTCTGTTTCAAATGACTTACTTCCCAGAGTCTTGAAACTTGACATCATTTCTTACTTCATCTCCACAATTCTGTGCAGATCCCTCCTTCTACAATGCTGGCGAGGCATCAACATTCACCGCTAGAGTCCATGTTGCCTAAGCAGTTATGTTCAGGGAACTTATGGTTACTGACTTGCTGTCCCATTCAAATGGAACAGTCTGGATCTGAACTAGGGTATTATGGTGTCTCTCAACTGTTAGATTTAAATACCAGTCTAAGGTAACAAAGCACTATAAACTAGCGATGGAACGCAGCAGCATAAAGCACAATAAATTCTTATTGCTTATGACTAGAATGAGACAAAATATTATTCCAGAATAGGGAGAAAGAAAGTAAAACTATCACGGAAAAATATGAGCAGGTTAATTTTTCCAGCATGCTGAATGGCACCTGAGTGACCCAAGAGTTATTTGAACTTGAAAATAAACCATTGCTGCACACTCTGCTAGTGATTGGGCTATGATTAATAGTTATGACAATTTCTCATAGTGATGAGTCTAAAATAAAAAAAAAAGCTTACAATGCTCACATTTAATTTGGAATACATTTACCATTTATAAGCCAAAAGAAAGCAGTTTGAAACTTCCATGAATTCTGATTAACATGATGTGGAAAAACTCAATGCCAAGCTTGTGTAAGTTATAGGAAACAGAATAGGGCTACTTGTCATTATATGTGTCTTATTTTTAGGATCAGATCAGAAACAGAGAAATTATAGGCTTTTTCCATATGCTCATACACTATGAGTATTCTTCGTTAATTTCAGATCATAATGAAACCTGAAGGCAATCTTTCTGTTTGTAATCCTATACCGGCCATGTTGATAAGTCTGACTTAGCAACATGGCCAGTATGACTAGGCACCCTTTGCCCTCCTGCTCTTTGCTAGGTGGTGGGGAGGAGAAAAGAGAAACTTGCAACTTTGAGCCAAAGGAATAATTTTGGTTACCATTAGCAACATTTGGGGCCACAAAGAGTTAGCATGGTGATTTCCCCCATTTTGTAGACCTTTTTTTTTCCCCCCCCAGGCCTTTGAAGGCAGATAATTCTTCTCTTCCACCTTGACTTGACCCTCTCCAGAAGTCATGACAGGAGTACAGAGGTTCCTGTGGCATCTCCATGACTCTGGTGTGAAGGGTCCAGGGCATGGATGCCCTCATATACCTCTCTGCTACCAGAGGGCACCAGCCATGTGGGCAATAACCTGGTGAAGGTTCCCATTGACAGATGCCAGAGAAGCTGTACTTGGTAAAGTTATTTAAACACTCCGTTTAAGGAGTCCATCTGGGTTGGTTTCAGGCCCTACTTATAGAAGGCTAGCCTAAATAGAATTACCTAGCTTTTTCTTCTTGAAAGCTGATGATAGCTCTAGTTTACTTATGAGGAGGTCATGGTGGCACACTGGGGTATGGTTGGCAAGGGGAGAGGAGATATAGGAGCTATTCTTACTACTCTGCTTTTTACTTACTTACTGTTCAGTGAGTCAATCTGATTGAGAGGATCTGGACTGTGGTATTAGCCCAAGAGGATTCAGAAAGGAGCCATGTTGGAATCTAGACAAGCTAGAGTCCAGACTAAGATCTGCACTCACCTCACATGGAAAGTCAGCCAAGTTTCCACTGGTGAGTCTGAATTCTGTAGGCAATTTAGTGATTTCCTGTTGGCCACCCCCTCCTGCTGCCTCCCTCCCACCTGCAAGCAGTCACCCATCCATAAATCCTGTCCAGCCCTGGATTTCAGCCCAATGTTCCAGAGATTTGGACTCACCAAGGAGAGCAGAATTCCCAGGATCCAGGACCAGCTGTGCTCCCAGAGGAGACGTCAGCACTGAAGGAAGGTTCGGTCCAGTGGCTGAAAGCAAGGCTCTGATGTCTTCCAACCGTGTGGGGACTTGGGGGGGATCTGTGGGAAGGTAGATGGGGAGTCAGGCAGGGTAAAGCATGAAGGCTGTAGTAAGGGGGGAAGGAAAGATGGGCATGCATTGAAGGCAGGCATTAGGGTTGCCTTTTAGCATCATTTTTTTCCCACAGAGAAAGTGTACCTATCAAGGTGCATCAGAATTTCAAGCTTAGTATTTGGTGCCCCAAACAGTAAGGTCAGTAATAAGAATCAGGCATGTTGACTTTAGGAGTTCCTTACTGTATACCACTTTATACCACAGTACCACTGGGTCTCTATAAATGTGTAGGCAAATTAAACTATATTATAAAAATACTCTTAAAAAGCCAACACTTCTTCAGCATTTATTATATGCCAAGTCCTGTGTTAAATAGTTTTCATTCCTTTTTTCATTTAACTCTTACGGTATCCTTTAGAACACTCTGTTACTGTCCCCACAGATATGGATACATCACCACAGGAATTTTTTATCTTAGAGAGCAAGAGAGCGCACACACATGGGGGGGGGGGGGAGTAGAGGGGGAGGAGAGAGAGAATCTTAAGCAGGCTCCATGCCCAGCACCGAGCCTGACACGGGGCTCAGTCTCACGACCCCGAGATCATGACCTGAGCCGAAACTGCGTCAGATGCTTAACTGACTGCACTATCCAGGTGACCCAGGAATTCCTTATATAAAAGAAGCCTACCAGTGACGTTTTCTATGAAGAAAAAGGTTTATTTATGAAGTTGATAAAGTGAATTTGCTTTGTGGTCTGGATTTTTACGCCCACGTAGGACCAGATAAGCAGAACAGGGATGATTTGTTCTTTAAAATCTTAGAAGGAGTTAGGGCTGAAGTCATCAGGGGTCTAGTTAACCAGAGCCCAAAGTGACACAAATGGGAAATAGAGTGGCTTATCATTTCCACTGGACAAATAAAGAGGAGAGCACCTATTGAAGCTAGTGGTGAGAGGACTCAAGATTCTCTGAGAAAAGAAGCAGAATCCTGTTTCCCCACTTCCTACATCTCCCAAGGGGGACTCCCATCTTTTTCTCTAGAGCACTTGTTGGAGTCTGAAGAGAAGCAGGAGTATTTCTTTTGTAACTGATGGTCATTTCATCAGTGTTCAGTGAGGGCCTATTATGTGCCTGTCACCTTGTCAGACACTTGTTAAGGGTGGCAAGTAAGTCATGATGGCTTCAGAGTCCGCCTCAGAAATATGCCTTCTGTCTACTCTGCCTTGACTGCAAAAAACCATTGCATACAGAAAACAATGATGAGCTTGAGATTTTTACATCTGTATCTATATCTATACATAAATTATAAAGACATTATATATGTTATATATAATTTAAAAATATTCTTTGGGTATAGGTGAAAACATCATGTTTGGGTTCAGGAATGCTCTATTTGAGCTGTGGCTCTGTCACTCACTAACTTGGGCAAGTCACTTAATTCCTCTGAGCCTTAGTTTCCTTGTCTATAAAATGGTGAGGAAACTCATCATTTCCTAGATCTCTTTTTACTCTGAAATACCAGGATTTTAGGAACTGATGGTAGTAGTTTACTCCAACCTAGAGTCCCTTCCCATTTTTTTTATTTTTTTAAACTTAAGTAATTATTTTTTAAAATTTAAATTCAAGTTAGTTAACATATAGTGCCTCCCTGGTTTCAGGAGCAGAACCCAGTGATTTATCACCCACACACAAGACCCAGTGGTCATCCCAACATGTGCCTTCCTTAATGCCCATCACCCATTTTTTTAATATTCCCTTGAGGATACTGAAATTGAATACTGAATATTCCCTCAAGAATATTAAACTCAAGGGATGCTTGGGTGCTGTAGTCAGTTAATAGTCAGCTCTTGGTCTTGGCTCAGGTCATGATCTTGGGATTGTGGGATCCAGCCCTGTGTTGGGCTCCCTGCTCAGTGGGGAGTCTGCTTGAGTTTCTCTCCCTCCCTCTGCCCTTCCTGCTAGTGCTTTCTCTCTCTTAAATCAATCAATCTTAAAAAAAAAAAGAATATTAAACTCAAGAAACCTTTGCTTATTTCCTAAAAGTCAAAAAGGGAGGTTATGTCCCATCTTCAAAACCATCAGGTCTTCTTGGGCCAAATGTCAGCCCCTCCTAATGCCCTTAGAACTTTTATCATATTGTTCTTCTTTGGTGCATGTCCATTTGATCTTCCGAGGGAAACCGTAAATTCTCCAAAGACAGAGGTCACCTCAAATTGATCCCAACACTCGAAACGGAACTTAGAGGCAATACGTCATGAATATTCATTCAACAGCCACAGGAATAAATGAATGAAAGTCGCATTACACATCAAGTCTCCATGCTACAGGTTAAGTCACAGAGCTTGGCCTGAAAGCTCAGTTTTATACACAAAATCCCTTGTTTAAAAATTAAGCCTCATTTTTGGCTAATTAAGACAAAAAGAGAGACATTATTTCTATGTTCATAGCCACCTATACAACTAAAAATACTTGGATTAATAAACCAAGGCTTCTGATCAAGAAAAGCCCTCTGCTTAAGAGTCTAACCAGTGATTTTTTTTTTCCCCATCACGTCTGATTAAATGGGAAGATGTCCTACTCATCCAGCTCCATGTTCACGGTCACACTAGTCTTCAGTCGCAACGCTGCAAGAGCTGCCTGGCAGAACGCATGCCCTTCATTGGTAAAGCTACTGTAGCAACCACGCATCCTAGGCTCTTGTCTCTGTCAGTGCAGGCGACAATCAAGGCTTATTTTGGGAGGAAAAGCCCACAGGAAGCCCCGTAACTCAGTGTGGGGCAACCGTGCCTGGGCCCCGGGCTCCAGACTCGTACGTAGCTCAGCCGGATGAAACCCAACACAGAACAAATGACATCTGTCACAGAGCTGCCTTCCTGTGGCTTTCTAAGATGACTGGAGGTTTATGCAGCCACTGGTGAGATGAAAACCCGCCGGGGCCTCTCTGAAACCTGAGCGGGCAAGGGCTAGAGACCCTAGGCTTTGGTCTATGAGCAATTGCAGGTATGGAAATATGAGTATAAAGTTTAATTATTTTTCCCCAAGGAGGTCTCTAATATATGAATGTGTGTGTATGTATGTATGGTGTGTGATTCTTCATATTTCTCATAGATTCCTTTTTTTCTTAGAATGATAGCTTTCTCTTAGTGAGAAAACTAGCATGAGGGCTCTAATCATTGCTTTTTTTTAAAAACTTTCTTTTTTTTTTATTATGTTATGTTAATCACCATACATTACATCATCAGTTTTTGATGTAGTGTTCCATGATTCATTGTTTGCGTATAACACCCAGTGCTCCACGCAGAATGTGTCCTCTTTAATACCCATCACCAGGCTAACCAAGTGGGATTTATCCCTGGGCTGCAAGGTTGGTTCAACATCCGCAAATCAATCAATGTGATACAATACATTAATAAAAGAAAAAACAAGAACCATATGATCCTCTCCATAGATGCAGAAAAAGCATTTGACAAAGTACAGCATCCTTTCTTGATCAAAACTCTTCAGAGTATAGGGATAGAGGGTACATACCTCAAGATCATAAAAGCCATCTATGAAAAACCCACAGTGAATATCATTCTCAATGGGGAAAAGCTGAGAGCTTTCCACCTAAGGTCAGGAACATGGCAGGGATGTCCACTCTCACAAATGCTATTCAACATAGTATTAGAAGTCCTAGCCATAGCAATCAGACAACAAAAAGAAATCAAAGGCATCCAAATCGGCAAAGAAGAAGTCAAACTCTCACTGTTTGCAGATGATAGGATACTGTATGTGGAAAACCCAAAAGACCCCACCCCAAAACTGCTAGAACTCATAGGGGAATTCAGTAAAGTGGCAGGATATAAAATCAATGCACAGAAATCAGTGGCATTCCTATACACCAACAACAAGACAGAAGAAAGAGAAATTAAGGAGTCAATCCCATTTACAATTGCACCCAAAACCATAAGCTACCTAGGAATAAATCTAACCAAAGAGGCAAAGAATCTGTACTCAGAAAACTATAAAATACTCATGAAAGAAATTGAGGAAGACACAAAGAAATGGAAAACGTTCCATGCTCATGGATTGGAAGAACAAATATTGTGAAGATGTCAATGCTACCTAGAGCAATCTACACATTCAATGCAATCCCCATCAAAATACCATCCACGTTTTTCAAAGAAATGGAACAAATAATCCTAAAATTTGTATGGAACCAGAAAAGACCCCGAATAGCCAGAGGAATGTTGAAAAAGAAAAGCAAAGCTGGTGACATCACAATTCCAGACTTCCAGCTCTATTACAAAGCTGTCATCATCAAGACAGTATGGTACTGGCACAAAAACAGACACATCGATCAATGGAACAGAATAGAGAGTTTTTTTCTTTTCTTTTCTTTTTTTTTAAGGTAAGACAAAAACAAGCTTTTTTACTGCAGCCCACCAAGTTCCAGACTCCCTGGGGAAGATAAGCCCAGGGTCCCTAGTCCAGGGGATAGAAGGGTTATTGTTCCCAACATGGCAGAGTCCAGCACTGGGCAACAGTGAATATTAGATGGTATCCCAGTGGTTGTTATTTCTAATATCTGTGTTATGCCAAGAACTGTGTTAGACTCTAGTCAGGGGTTCTTATATTTGGGGGTACTATAGTCTGAATGCCTGTGTCCCTTCAAATTCATAGGTGAAGTCCTAACCCCCCAAGGTGATGGTATTCGGTGACGGGGCCTTTGGGAGGTGAGGCAGAACCCTCACGAGGGCCATTTGCGCCCTTATACCTGAGACCCTGGGGAGCTGGCTTGTCCCTTCCGCCATGGGCAGAGACAGCAAGAAGCCAGTGGTCTGTAACCCAGAGAAGGGGCTTTAGCAGAACCTGACCATGTTGGCATCCTGATCCTGGACTTCTAGCCTCTAGAGGTATGAGACATAAACTTCTGTTGTTATAAGCTGCCCCGTTTGTGTTTTGTTTTAGCAGCCTGAAAGGACTAAGACAGGGGGCTACCCGTGTGGACTTTAGGTAGGTTGGACTATGAACTTCTTGAAATTCTATGAAAAATTTTATAGGTACGAATTTTTCTGGAGGGGGTCATCAATAGTTTTCATTTGATGCTCAAAGAAGTCCTTAATGCAGAAGAAATTCACAATAACTTCTTTACTTCTTGAGCCCTTGCTGACAGCCGCCTCCCCCTACATGGACAATCCCCATCGTGCATTCACATCAAGACCAGCATCTAAGGCTTAGTAAGGTAACTGAGTTGCCCAAAGTCACACAAGGTCACACACTGAATAAACAGTAGAGCCAGCATTCAAAATGATTTCTGCCTGGCCCCCGAGTCTGTGTTCTCTCTACTGGAAGGCCCTAAGGTGGGAGGAATAGAAGGCATATTGCTTTTATGTAATTAAATGGATCAGGGATAAAGGGAGGGGGAGGGTGGGCTAGACAGTCAGCCTCGAGGTGTTTACCTAGGATCAGCAGCTGCGTGTTCTCGGTCAGCTCTCCATGGACATTGGCTGCTCTGCAGGAGTACAGGCCCTGATCTGAGGGGGACACGTCTGTGAGCAGCAAGGAGCCCTCGTGCCCATGCGGAGGGGAGCCCAGTTTGCTTTTATTCCTGAACCAAGTGACTTCAGCTTCAGGCACACCTAGGAAGAAAAAAAATAAACACATCAGCAAAACACACTCAGGTGACCCTGGAGGCAGTTACCACCGCTTGGCGGACCCTCTCAGGGGTTACTCTGCAGGAAGCATCTGCGTGGGCGTCTTCTACCATCCTCTGGCCAAACTAAATAATACCTGTGACCTCTCCGTGGTCTCGAGAGCTTTAGCTTTTTAAAGCTCACACTGAAGAGGCAGGAAGAGAGAGTCCAGTTAACAGAACAGGAAGTGGGCAGCTGGTAAAAGGCACTTGTCAAGATGGAAGGAAAGTACCCAAACTCTGTGGGGAAGGTAGGGATGGACATAAGCCCCAAATCTATACAGCGGTGAAAATGAATGATTGACAAGTACATGAAACAAACATTTAGTAAGAAAAGCTGGACGCAAAAGAGTACACCCTGGATGATCTCATTTCTGTAAGTGACAAACAAAACCCGATAACATCAATCTGTGCTGTTAGTAGTCAGGGTGGTGGTTCCTGTGAGAGGGAGGGACAAACAGGGAGGCGTTGGGACTAAGTGGGGACAAAGGTTGGTCAAGGGTAATTCTCTGGTTCCTGACCCGAGGGCTGGTTTGGTGGGCTTGGTACCTTTATGATATGTCTCCTTTTCAGTACAGATACTACACTTCAGTAAAAAGTTAAAAGCTATAAAATATTAGTATTTTGTCTAGTATGAACCAGACAAAAGAAAGCTGCTGGAACCTGACCAGAACTGACACTATACATGGAAAATACGCTTGTAATTTTTGGATCCTACGTATTTTCTTAGAACAAGAGAACACAGAGCTATGGCCATAACACCACAGAGAAAGAGACAAAAGAAAGAGACAAAAAAAAAGTACTCTGTTCTTTCTTCAGTCCAAGATCTGTGTTTGAGGGAGAGAGTGGGGAGGGTGGATGAGTTAGGATGGAGTACCTGCCTTTGGAAGTTGGGCTCTGTCCTTTAGGGTCGTCACTGATTGAATGTGTTCATTCACAATTCATACGTTGTTACGTTCTAACCACCTCCAATGTGATAGTATTTGGAGGTAATTAGGTTTAGGTGGGTGGGGTTGTCATGATGGGATTAGTGCCCCTATGAGAAGAGACCAGAGAGCGAGCCCTCTCTCTCTCTCCATCGTGTCAGGACGTGGTAAGATGGTGGTCTGCAATCCAGGAAAAGAGCTCTCCACAGACCTGCTGGGGCTGGCGCCTTGAGCTTGGACTTCTCAGCTTCCAGTACTATGAGAAATATATTTCAGACATTTAAGCCACCTCGTCTATGGATATTTTGTAATAGCAGCCTGAGTAGGCTAAGACAAGGGGGCAACCGTCGTTCTTTAGGAAGTTTCCCTGTGGTTGCCATGCTGGCAAGCAGGCCCCGGGCCAGGACAAGCCTTCTGAGATAGTCTGCACAGGAGGCCCCGCAGGAGGCTGAGCTCAGAGTAAGTTGGGAGACAGAAAATCTGTGGCATCAATTCACAGGTCTCTGGGGAGCAGAAAGCTCTATTCCCCGCTGCTCAGCCTGCTGGCCCAGTTCAAAAAGTTTACTCAGAACTCTTGGGTGTATGTCCAGGGTACGTTAATAATGTCAAATCCTGGTCAATGGGGGTCAAAGCCAGGAAGAGTCAAAGGACTTGATCTTTTGTCCTGTGCTTTTCTGAGTTGGGGCTACATGCTGCATTTGGGGCAAGGACAGTGTTGCCCTTAGTGGGCAGCCTACTGGTGAGGACACAGACGTCTTCAAGGGATTGCCTGCGTACCTGTTACTTGTCCTTGAATCTGCTGAACAGAACTTGCCAGCAGTCTACTCTGTAACACCCAGCTCAGTGGCTCCCCTAATTATGCCCCCCTTGGCACTTGCTGCTCCTGAGCTCCCAGAAGGAGGAAGTGGGATGGAGGCGGGAAGGTGGTCTCACACTCCCTCAACAATGATGAACTGCCTTGTGGGAATTCACCGGTATCCTGCCTGCTCGGCTGCCTCAGGTGGGCCTGGAGCGGTGGCCCAAGGTGGTGGTCAAAGTGTCTGGCCAATCTGTAGAGCCTTCCTCCCTATTACAAGGACCAGAGAAGCGATTCTCTGGTTTTCTCTTTTCTTCCAATTACCAATAATTTAATGAAAACCACTAAGGATCACCGAACTGGCTGGAAGGAGGAGGCAGGGCTGCTGAAATGGGATAAAGACTCAGATACTGCAGGCTTGTCACATCGGGAGAGGCACACCTCATGATGCCTGATGCTCAAATGCAGGAGACGGACCAGGCTGGCCTGGCCTCCGAATATACCTGGACAGAAGAGGCAGGTAAGAGGCAGAAAAGCTGATTTTTCATTGCAGCACCACTAGGGAGAGCAAGAGCATCATGATGTCTAGCCATGCTAGCTTGGACTTTGGACCTTGAGCTTAGTTTTTACGTGTAAAAAAAAAAAAAAAAAAAAAAAAAATCCACAGCATTCAAGAGAAAGCCTCCGAAAGGCAAGCTGAAGAAAACATTCCCTGCCATTTCTGTCCTGAAAACACAAGGAGAATCTAGGTCCTACAAATCCTTTCCTGTCAGTATTTCCCTTGTTATGAAGCGCTCACATGCAGCGGGTAGGTTGGCACGTTCTTTTGAAGAGTGCTGTGGGTAGCAAGCACACAATCCCCGCTAGGACCTAAGACTGTTCTAGAGCAAGGCAGGTACAGTAAAGGAGCTGGACTAAATGGGCCCTCGGGTCCACGAAGTGAATGGGGGAGCGAACACTCTCTCCACCACTGTGCTGACGGGAATGGTGTGTGTGTCTCCAGCGCCAACACTCCTGAGGATCTCTGCAACATGGACAATCCTGCCGTAAGTCTCCCTGCTACTCCCAGTGCATCCTTCTCTGGAAGGGCCCCTGCTCCTGCCGGACAGTCAGAGGCAGAGACACGGAGGAGAAGAGAGGCAATTGGGGGGTGGGGGTGAGAAACAAGAGGCGGAGGGAGAGAACCCAGGCTCTGAGAGAGACCTGGAGCCATTTCTCACTTCCCCAGGAAGTGGGTCCAAGCCTCTTCCATTCCCTTAATCACTCTGCCTCACGCCCCCCCGCCCCCATGAAATCAGAGTGTTTGCCAGCATAAGACAGGTGCTTATCAAAAGGACTGAATTCTCCAGGTAGGGTGGGGGGTGGGGGGCTCATGGGAGACATGCAAACATTCAGGATAGCAAGGGGTCGAAGGAATTTGCTGATGGAGGAGTTGTGTCTGGTGGCACATGTTGGGGGCTTCCTGCCTGGGACTGTGGGCCTCAGGCAGAGGGTGACACAAAAAAAGATACCTTAGAATCTCTTTAGTCTCTTTCACAACTGATTTTGACATCCTTCAAACACAGAAGAAAGGAAGAGGAAACATTAACAAGGCCTGAGAGAGCTTTTTTCTGTTTTTTTTTTTTTTTTCCTCAAGAGATCATAATGAGCCTTAAGAGAACATCACCAGCCATTGTTTAAACCAGAATCCCTTGAAAAGGTACCAGATACACATGCCCAAGACCGACGTTCAGAATAGCTGAACATAGGGAGTACATGAAGGTCAGGGACCGTGCAAAATATCCTGAACATGCGAGAGGAGAAACAACACTTGGTGAACGTTTGCTATAAGCCAGACATTTCATAAAGGTAATCACATTGTTCAAAGAGATGAAAGAATCTGCCTAGAGTGATGTTAGTTTGAATCCCTGACTGATTATGTGGGGACAGAGCCTCTGTCTCTCCCTACCTCTCACCCCGTGGTCAATCAGTGACCTACAAATGGCAGAGGGGAGATCCACACTCATCCATTTGATGCCACGGATTCCCACCTTACCCTGTGCGCCCCATGCTGCCTGCCCCTGGACCCAACTGCCTCTTCAGAGAAGATCAGAAATGCTACGCTACTGTTTCTGAACCGTCAAAGTCTTATTTTCTACTCTAGAATGAACCTTTCTGCTGTAGCTGTAACACCAAGATTATTGTGAGGAGGGGTTTCCAGAACCCATGTGTGCTGGCTTTGTCAGCTCTCTTCTTGTTGAGAAGCTGGTCAGGTTGTGGGAGACTTCTTTTTTTCCTGGGCTGTTGTGATGTGACCACACATTTTACCAAAAGAACTGTCTAAAAAATGACAGAAAGGACACTCTACCACAGAACACTGTCCAGTGCTATGTTGTTGACAAGCTGCTTGGAGAGGCTCCACGGTCCTGGCCTCCCTGCTATGATCTGTGTATAAGACAGAGGAGGAAAAAAACCCTGCTTTGCCTTTTTCCCTTTGGTGGCATGTCTTATCAACAACACAATGCTCTCCCTGTTGCTTGAAAGAACCAATAAATGAGTCTGGTCATAATGGGTTGTAACTTGAGATGATTATAAGGATTAGTGCCTTTGATCTTCACAGGGCCACCAGGTAGGGTGATGCTGTAATATTCTTTTTTCAATTCCAGACAGGATAGTCTTGCTAAGCAGACCACTTGTTATATTTGGAAGGCTGCTTGCACCACACAGCCTGTCAGCATCTCGAGCTGGGGTGTCCACTGAAAGGTGCACCTTGACACGATGCCCTTGAGCAGCTTCTTCCATGGCTTGGTGCAAGAAAAGGAAAGGATACAGTAACTAAAATGTCAGCCATGCCAATTATTCTAAAGAACCACGGAAGTCTGGAAAGGAGGTTTTTCAGCCTTCCACATTTCTCTGTACTGACTGGGGCAGACATTCATAGTGGTTCACCAAACCGGTTTCCCTCTTTTGCCTGGGTGCCCATCTAGGCCATGTTGCTCAATATCCCTTGTGGTGGGGAGTGGCCAGGTGACAAGAGGGACTGTGAGAAGTGGTCATATGTGTTGCTTCCAGGTGTGGCCCTTCAAAACCTTCCCAACCACCCTCCATGCTTTTTCTTTTTCCCCCTCTTCTGGTTGACAGGTTAGAGATAACCCCTGGGAGACCTTGAAGGGCATGTGTTAGAGCCACAAGCATTCCGTGACCCTGACTGTGTGGGGCAGCCAGCTCTCTGGACTCTTCTGTAAATAATAATAAACTTCTATTGTGTTTGATCCATGATATATTTGGGGGTCTACTTATTAGCATAATCTAGCCTACCTTAATGAATATACTACCTGTCACTGATTCCTCAACTATTTATTTCTGCATCACCAGTCCTAACAATTTTATCTCATAAGTCCTTCAAAAACTTCCTTTGTTCTTAGAAGAAAATCCCAAATTGTACCATAATCTATGAGAGCATGTAAGATCTAGCCCCTGTCTGCTCTCCCCCACCCTTCAGCCACAGGTCATGCTACTTTCTTCTCTGTTGTCTGAACTACAGCCACCCCAGCCATATTCTACTGCTTTAGAGGCAGCCTGCTCTTTCTACCTCAGGCCCTTTGCACATTCTGGTCCCAATGACTGAAATGCTCCCTCCTCCCCCAACCCTTTATCTCCTACTAGGTCTCCTGAACTTTTCTCAGGTAGAGAAAAAGTATGGGAGTGATACACTGGATTGGATCACTTTTCAAAAAGAATGCTCATCATACTCATTGCTTAATATTTGTTATGTTTAAGAGTTGGGAAGAATTTGTGAGGCTGCATCTTACAAGGTGAAAGCATATATGTACAAAAAGTTATTTAATGAGAAACTGCTAACAACTCATACATAGAGGACATGAGTTACTCTACATAAATTATGTAATATTCTTAATATGGAGTATAAAATAGCCATTAAAATTACACCATAAGAGAGCCATAAAGCCACTTCTATTAGTAAAGTAAAAGTCATTCCTACCGCTATTGCGCATTACAACACTCGGTATTTTGACGGGAGACTCAGCTCAAGGATGATTTTTTTTTCCAGCAAATTCACAGACTGACCGTGTCATCAAAAGCAGGCTCTTGCCCACCACTTTGAATAAATACCTTATTTAACAAAAGGTATAATGACAAAGATACACAGATTTATTTTAGTCAACCACGATTAACACAAATAGTTCTACGCATAAAAATCAAAATAAAGACTGTCATGTGCAGGGCCAGGCAAAAAGTGGGCATGACAACCTGAGATCTCATGATGAGGTCACCAAGAGCGGGTCTCTGGATGAAGTCAGGGAGACAGGGCACCAAGTGGCCAGAAAGAATTGGCCAAAGCTGATTTTAGTGTCCCCGGTTCCCCATGGTCAATGCTTCCTCACCTGAATTCTGGTTCTCTCAATCTCCTTTAAGCGCCCACTTCCTTGTTGCATGCCCCCTTGCTCTCCATTGTCTTACTCCTACCTGTCTCATCTCTCAGGAAGAGATCTAGCATGGTCCATTGTATCTCCAGTTAGTGCTGTGTCTCTGAGGCACATGTTCACAGTGGTCCGGTGGGGGATGATGGTTCTGCACAGAAGGCCCCACATGCACCATCAGTCCCTGCATGAAGTCCAGCTCCTTCATGGGAAGCCCTCTTGGAGGGTTTGTCCGACTCCTTATCTGGGAGGGCCGGGCAGGAAGGGATATGACTGAGGAAGGTTTCACTGACGAGGCTGGACACACAGGCCAAGGGAAGTTTTTTTTTTTTTTTTTTTTAAAGATTTTATTTATTTATTTGAGAGAGAGAGAGCATGAGAGCAGGGGAGGCTCAGAGGGAGAAGCAGACTCCCCGCTGAGCAGGGAGCCCGACGTGGGACTCGATCCCGGGACTCCAGGATCATGACCTGAGCCGAAGGCAGTCGCTTAACCAACTGAGCCACCCAGGCGCCCCAGGCCAAGGGAATTTTTACAAAGAGAAGCTAATGTATGATGACAGAGATAGATTTATAGTTCTGATTTCCTGGAGGTACCAGAATATTTCAGAGAAAACCAGACTGGGCGCCTGGGTGGCTCAGTTGGTTAAGCGACTGCCTTCGGCTCGGGTCATGATCCTGGAGTCCCGGGATCGAGTCCCACGTCGGGCTCCCTGCTCGGCGGGGAGTCTGCTTCTCCCTCGGACCCTCTTCCCTCTCGTGCTCTATCTCATTCTCTCTCTCTCAAATAAATAAATTAAAAAAAAATCTTAAAAAAAAAAAAGAGAAAACCAAACTGACTGTTCTTTGGAAACAACATGCTTTAGATTAAGATCTTCCTCCTACTTATTCTAAACTGGGTTATGTGGCCTATAAATCACAGGCAGAGGTAAAACCTCTGATTTTGGGGTGGAGATCTAGGCTCAAAGAAAGCCCCAGAGAAGGGGTGCCACTGCCTGTCCACTCTGTCCACTGAGTATGGCCAGGGAACCCGGCTTTGGATTTGCCACAGAAGGGGATATCTGATGAGGATGGCAATCAGGGGACTGGAGCTGGGCCCTAGAACAGCAGCTGTTCATTTCTGGGTGCTGTGGGTGTGAAGACCCTTAGGGTAGATATCACCCACTAGTGGTCCAGAGGAAGGGAGAATCAGCAGCTGGGCTTTGTTTGGCGGCTCTGTGTTGGTGTTTTTGCCTTTTTAATGGAAGGTAAATACCTTTATAAAGAATATACTACTACCCCTATTGTCTACTCCTTCTCTGCTTCTTTCTGACTTTCTGTTCCTTATAGGCCTCTGAGTTTGCAAGGCCAACTGGAGGGCAATTCCTATATATCACAGCTCCTAATAGCACTGTTTTCGTTCATGACTCCTACCCACTTCTTTTTTTTTTTTTAATTTTTTATTGTTATGTTAATCACCATATATTATATCATTAGTTTTTGATGCAGTGTTCCATGATTCATTGTTTGTTCATAACACCCAGTGCTCCATGCAGAACGTGCCCTCCTCAATACCCATCACCAGGCTAACCCATCCCCCTACCCCTACCCACTTCTGATGAGAGTAAGCTCCAGATTCCTGTTGGTCTTACCTCTGCAGCCTCTCTGATGTTCCTCCACCCTTTATCTTTCCATCACCACTGCCCTGAGTTTGGGCCCCCATTACCTCTTCTCTAAACTACCAAGACAGCTTTTTTTTTTTTTTTTAATGATTTAAGTTTTAAGTCATCTCTACACCCAACATGGGGCTTGACCTCACAAACCTGAGATCAAGGGTCACATGCTCTGCCCACTGAGCCAGCCAGGCACCCTGACTACTAAAACAGCTTCTTAACTGGCCTTTCTGTCCCAGTATTTCCTATCTTCAATCCATTTTATGAACTGCTGTTGGCTTACTCTTCTGGAAGTCTGGCTCCTTAATGCCACTCTCTGTCTGCCTTTTTCTGAACTCCTTGGCCAAGCATTTAAGGTCTTCCGTGGTGCAACTGCAACCCAGCATACTAAAGCCTAAGCCCCTCCATGCCATTTCTCTACTCTGGGCCCCAGCCAGACCAAAGCACACACTGTTCGCTTACAGTCTTGGGCTTTCCTACTTCCATGAATTTTTCACACTCATTTGTTCACTTGGAACACTCTTTGCTTCCATCTTGGCACATGCAGTGTGCAAGGCTGAAGTTAGAAACCACCTCCATCCCAGCCAGAATTCATCTTTCCTCCTCTAAACTTCTGTAGCATTGTCCATTTTCAGGGTGACTGAGGTTCTTGCCTTAGCTTTCCTACTAGCCCTAAGTCCCTGAGAGTAGAATCTGTATTTATCTTTGTATCCCTCAACCTAGCACAGGGTTCCATTAATATATGAACAGATGAATTAACACATGAATGCATTTCTCACCTGCAACTTGGCAGTTAATTGTTACATTCACTCCTTGTACTGTTTTGATGGTGCTTCCCACATCAACTGTGACGGCAGGCTCCTCAGTGTTGATCACAGTCCCTCGTGATGTCTTCACTAGTGGTTTTCCTGAAGGTGGGAAGGAATGTGAGATTTTACTAGATGGTGGCTGTGGGCTTGGGGTGTTCCCTTGAAACATGGGCTGACCCACAATGAACAACTGGTATACCCAGGCTTTTCCCACTAACCATGTTTTCCTTTGAAAAAAACTGTAACTGCATGATATAGAAACCATCCACCCACCCAACTCATCTACCATAGAACTGTCAGGAAAAGAACACAGATTGAAGAATCTGAGGATGGAGCATAGTATCTAACAAGCTGGGATGATTTGTGCATTTTGTCATTAAATTTATAAATGATATTTCTCTTATTTTTAAAGGTTTTTTTTAAAAAAGATTTTATTTTTCTTTTTAATTTTATTACGT